ACCCCTCCTTGTCTTTCCGAGGCAGTATCACTACGGAAGTAGATTGCCCCATCTTCCTTCTGAGGAGTGGCTGGTGGCTTTGAACCGCCAGCCTTCTGGTTAGCAGTCAAGTGCCTTAGGCACTATGCTACCAGAGCTCCCTTAGATATCCTAGTGGGGGTATAATAGTATCTCACTGCGGTTTTGATTTGCATCTGTCTGAGCATTATTTCATGTGTTTGGTGGCTATTTAAATGTCTTCTTTGGTGAAATGTCTATTCAAGTCTTTTGCCCATTTTGTGATTGGATTAAAAGAATATTGCAGATCAATATCTCTTACACATATAGATACAAAAATCCTCAACAAAATACTAGAAAACAGTTTCCAGCAGCTTATTAAAAGAGTCATACACCATGACCAAGTGGGATTTATTCCAGAAATGCAGGAATGGTTCAACATTAGAAAAATCAATGAACGTAATGCACCACATCAGTAGAACAAAGGAAAAGAACCATATGATCATCTCCGTGGATGCAGAAAAAAGCATTTGATAAATTTCACACCTTTTATTAATGAAAACCTGAAAGAAGATTGGAGTGGAAGGGAAATTCCTCATTGTGATTCAGGTGATACATGAAAAGCCAACAGCCAAGCTTTCTCCTTGAAATCAGACAAGACAAGGGTGCCCACTCTAATCACTTGTATTTAATATTATATTCAAAGCCTTAGCCGAGCAATAAGACAAGAAAAAGGAATAAAAGTTACCCAGCTTGGAAAAGAAGACATAAAATTATCTGTGTTCATGGATGATAAGATCCTATGTAGAAAATCCCAAGAGTCCACAAGAATACTTCAGAGAGCTAATAAAGGAATTTAACCAGTTCAGTAACCTTGCCAGTAAGAATCAGGAGCCTCAGATAAGGAGCTTTTATCACCTTACAATTTGAGTCTGCCTGACTGAAATTTACAGATGTCAGAAATCACCTTAAACTTGTGTTACCAAAATCTAAATTATTGCATTACCAAAAACTCCTTTGCTTAAGCATCTTTTCCACAAACAAAAAGAATGTGTCAAAGTGTCATAAATATTGGACTTCTTTGGGACAGTGAGGAATAGGAGTGGGCTTCCCATTTCTATTTGACATGACACATATCCCAGTTATTTTTCAATTCTTCTTTTTCTGTGTCTGGTTATCTTTCCAAACAAGATAGGTGACTTTACACCAGAGTGCTTCGTACCTAGGGGATGCTTGGCATAAATATGTGGAGAATGAATATGTAATTTTCTTGACTATTGTCTCAGTTTCTTAGTGCTGTTGTAACAAAAATAATATGTGTGGGTGGTTTTAAAGAATAGAAATTGGTTTTCTCCGTTTGGGAGGCTAGAAGTCCAAATTTAGGGCACCAGCTCTAAGATAAGGCTCTCCGTGTCCACTCTGAGGGTACATCTTGTTTCAGCTCTGCTCTTGGTGTTCCTCGGTTCCTTGGCAAACTCCATTTTGCATCATCTTTCCCCCATTTATACTTGCTTCTCTCTGTCTGTTCTACTCTTTTTATACCTCAGAAGTCATTGGTTTAAGGCACACCCTAGACGGAAGTTGCTTCATTGACATAACAAAAAAAAAAACCTATTCTCAAATAGGGTAACATCCAGGTGTTATTATTGTTAGGTACCACTGAGTTAGCTCTGACTCATAGCAACTCTGCATACAACAGAGCAAAACACTGCCTGGTGCTGCACTGTGGTCATACTACCTGCTGTGCTTGAGCCCATTGTTGCAGCACTGTCAGTCCATCTCGTCAAGGGTCTTCCCCTTTTCTGCTGACTCTAGTTTACCAAGCATATCATTCTCTAGGGACTGGTGCCTTCTATCCACAGGTATAGGAGTTAGAATTTTAACACACATTTGGGGGAGGAGGGGGCACAATTCCGTCCGTAACAACCTTAAACCATCTGGTTGACTAATCAGTATTTCTGTCATTCCACCAGGGTAACAACCTTAAACCATCTGGTTGACTAATCAGTATTTCTGTCATTCCACCAGGGTCAGAACTTTGCTATATCTTTATATTCAACTCCAGAATTAGCAGTAGGTAGCTGACTGATCTTGTTTTAGTAACTAAAAAATTGCCAATTTAAAGTCATTTCAAGAACTAAGTATGGTGCAAATTATAATAAAATAAAAGTACAGACTACATCTTCAATTATTGAAGCTTTAGGTTAGAAAGTTGGCAAGTTGGGGATTGTTAATTTTGGCTCTCCCAGCTATATACAGTAAAGATGGAAACCATTGTCATTTAACACAAACTGGAGCAAAATTTTGGGAAAGAATATTGTATTATGAGTCATAATGTTCCTTACATGTATATAAAATACCCACTGCCATTGAGTCGGATCTGACTCATAGAGACCCCTCCTTGGGTTTCCGGAGTGGTATCACTACAGAAGTAGATTGCCCAACTTTCCTTCCGAGGAGTGGCTAGTGGGTTTGAACCGCCAGCCAGTATGTAGACAGTTGTAATTTTTCAAATACAATTACCCTTTTTGTTCTTCTCTCCTTGGTGAGACCTCTTCAGGAGGGACTATTCATTAATGAATGATTATAATGATAACAGCAGCAACAATGTTAATAGTAAGAACTAACACTTGCTGGATTTTCATTATGCCAAACCTAGTCTAAGATCTCTATATCTAATCCTCACTGAAATCCTAATGTTACTAGTATTCTCATTTAAGATAGAGACATATAACAATTTCTGCCTTCTAAAATCAGAATATTAAAAAAAAGAAAGAATCCAGTAAATTATTACATATTTATTTTTACATTTTAGATATTAAACAGTCCAATTTTTCTTATTCTTCATTTCTTGTTTGTGTCTTTTCTTTGTCTGTTTGGAGGTCAGCATTCAACAAATTATTTTGGGGACCTCAAAATATTTAGTACACCAAGGTATCTTGTTTTTCAGGCACAGACCACTCTAAAATACTGAGTCTAGTTTTCTAGGGTTTCAGAAATAATTCAGAACTAATTTAGCATAGGAATAGAAAAGATCACAATTTTGTGATTATGCTTACAGTTAAAGAATTCCTATATAGTATACAAACCAACTGGTTTTTTTTTGTTTTTGGGGGGAAGATTTTTTTGCCCCTCAATATCTGATTGCTATCTTCATAGTGATTTTTGTATCACATTTATGACAACTTCCTCTGTTCAGACTTCCTTTTCCAGCTGCCATCTACAAGTACTTTTTTCTACTCTGGGCACTAATCCTTCTGTTTTACTTATTGCCAAAAAGAAGAGGCAAATGAAAAAGAGAATGATGTGTGTGTGTGGGAGTGTGGGGGTGGTAGAGGAGCAGTGATCTAAATCTGAGCTATTATCTTTCCTGTAAAAGATCCCTTTAATTAGTGTACGAACGAGCAAAGTGAGTAAATCTGGCCTTCATTGCTATCTGTGTAGTAAGGATCAGCATGAATCCAATCCCCAAAGAGTGAATGTGGATCCCATCCTCACCTTCCCACTTCTCGTCCTCATCGCCAGCTTCCCCAGCCACACACACTCTCTGACCCTAACCACCTGGAGCTGGGTCAGAGCTTACATGTTAGAAGGACGCCATCTTTCAGACTGCTAAATAGGCAGACACCCACCCTGCTGGCTCTCACTGCCCCTGTGGGTTCATTAGTTCACTAGAACAACTCACAAAATTCATGGAGAGTATACCGTACTTGGACTGGGCATTATTTCATTCTCTTGTTCATAGGGTTGCTATGAGTCAGAATCAACAGCACCTAACAACATACCATACTTACAGCTACAACTTTATTTTAACCAAAAAGGATTCAAACAGACACACAGAATGAGGTCTGGGAGGTATGTATACATGTAGAAAGCATGAAGTATACAGATCCCAAAAGAGGGACATGCTGTCCTCTCCTGTGCATGGTCACCAACCAGGAAGCTTCCCTAAACCTTAGGGTTCAGGGCTCTTACCTACCCCTTAGTGGCCATGATAGATCACATCATGCCTTGTGAGGCCTAGTCAACATCAGGACCCCATGTAGTTTCTCTAGAACTAGTCAGCCTTTCACTTAAGAAATCTTTACTGAGTATGTTATGCAATGGCACCATGGTAGGTGCTCACATCACAGAGGTAAAATGGTGATGTTCTTGATGACTTTGTACACTTTTTTTCCTGTTATGGCCCAAACGATGGATGAGGGCAGTGTAATGTTAAAGGAAAATTAATTTATAGTGTTCAAAGTAGATATAACATTTGAACAGTTCTCTAGATTATAAGACTTATATGTGTTTATATACATAAAGTGTGTGTATACTTCATAATTGTTCAGGAATCTATAATTCACTGGTCTTCACAGGCTCCTGGATGTATGTAGAATATTGGTCAGAATCAGCAGCCTCTGATGCATCCACATTAATTAAAGCTTTAATGTTATACCTGTCAGAAGGGTGATTGGCTTTTTCTTACTCTCCTTTCCAGGCATACCCAGAGTATCTTATCACATACCAGATCATGAAGCCAGAAGCTCCTTCACAGACCGCAACAGCCGCTGAGCAGAAGACCTAGTGAATGCCCACTGGTAAAGGCCATATCAGATTTAAACCTGGGACTGGATTACATTTGATTGCTTCCAACAAAAAATCAATATTCTCAAAATCTGACAGCCTAGAAATAAGCTGTTTGTCTTTTATAAAGCATTGCTATAGTGATGAATATAGTATGAGTAACTGATACATACTCAATTGCTATTGTTCCCTTTGAGGAAATGTTTACAGGGGCGGCCTTTTAACATATCTCAGGCTCATTTTCACTGCAGTTATCCATTTCTAAAACAATATTGCTTTGCTCTAAACTTGGAAATGGAAAAAAGAAAACATAACCAGTACTGTTCCAAATGTTCAAAACCCACACACTACATTTGTTTTTATATGTTATATATGGCACATATATAACAACTATATACATGTGACAGGCATATTTTTTATTTTTTCCAAGCATTCATTATTAGGTTTTAGTTTTTGTTTTGTATTTGTGTTTTTGTTTTGTTTGTTTTGTTTCTGGATTTTGGGGTGTTTTGTTTATTTGTTTGTTACTTTGAAAATGAGCCAGAGCCTTCTTGAGGATATTTTGCACAAAGTCATACTGACTCAGATCATTAGCAATGCAACCCAAGCTTCTGACTAAGCAAGATTTCATTTCCTTTTTTTTTTTTTTTTGTTCTTTTTTCCTTTGATTTGTTTTGTATCTGTGCTTCTCATAAACATGAATTGCAATGGAAAGGAAAAAAATCAAGTTTCAGTTTCCTTTTATTAATTGGCTCATCCTAAAGGGAAGGGCACAAGCATCAGCCTGTTTCAGGAACTCCTAAGATCAGAGAGGTCAACATTGGTAAGGGCCACTTGGCCCTTTCCAGCCTGCTTCAGAGGCATTCAGGGATTGCACTGGGTAACAGGGAACAGCACAGCCAAGGGATGCATTTAAGTGATGCTATCCTGACGTTCAGATTTCAAACAACTAGCAAGGGCTGTGGAGGAGAAGCAGCACTAAGTACTGGGGAATGTGGTGGTTGTATAACACTGCAGCAGAAAAGGAATGAGGGAACTCACCAGGGAAGACACACTTCCCTCTGCTCAATCCGTACCACGGAATTGCCGCCCCCAAAATTAGCTGCCTTATTGCCAATTCATTGGAATGATTGTATTCCATTAGAGTCACAAAACATTACTTGTTTCTTTAGTTTTGAAAACTAGAAATTAAATCCATTTATTGAGTAGATACACACAGTTACAAGAACTTTTTTTTAATGCAGATTTGGAGTTTGAGTGAGGTGCTTCAAATAGTTTCTATAAGTCCCTGCACTATATTTTTAAACCATTTTGTCAAACTTAATATATTTAGACAAGGAGGACAAAAATTGAAACCAAAGCCCTTTCAGTTTTTTAGTTTTTGTTCTGTTTTGCTTTCTGTTTGTTTTGTTTTGTTTTGTTATGTTAATGAATGTGATGGAGAATTATCATACTGTTTTCTTTGTAAATTACTACTTTATTTTGCTTATTTTAATCAACATTTGCCAAGTACACATTGATACTAGTAAAAAATTATCCATTATCTTTCTTCTACTTGCCCTTTTCACCTTAACTGAACATTGAATTGAGTGCATTAATTTATTTACTTTGACATGCAATTCATCTACTCAGCTTTGAAGCGAAAGTAACATAAATGTGGAAAAATAGGAAAAATAGTGTGATGCTAACTTTCATTTTCAGCTTAAAAGTCCAGAAAACTAATTTGGTTTCTTGATGCAAGCTGATTAAGTTGTGACCTTATTTAATCTCCTGAAGAAAAATAAAATGGTTACATGCAAAAATTCCAGATATAAGCTCTTAAAATATACATTTGCTTTCTTTTTGGCTTGAGTCCAATGCTAGAGTTGTTTTTATGTGCCGTCGAGTCGGACCCGACTCTAAGTGACCCCTCCTTGGGTTTCTGAGGCAGTATCACTATGGAAGTAGATTGCCCCATCTTCCTTCCAAGGAGTAGCTGGTGGGTTTGAACCGCCAGCCTTCTGGTTAGCAGTCAAGTGCCTTAGGCACTACACTACCAGAATTCCCATGCTAGAACTAGGCGTCTGGAATTAGTTTGAGTTTTATACGTGAGTCTTATGTGGGGCTTCACAATTAAGTCAAGAATTAGCATCAGTTGTTGGCTTCTGTTGAAGTTTCAGTGACCCAGGCTGGCTTTGTGTCTTGGCTACTAGTTTAATAGCACTAGAATTCCACATGGAGCCTCAAAAGTTGATACTCATTCAGAGGAGTTTGTTCCTCTCCTTTTTTTCTTTTTTGCTGTGTGTAACGACGGGTTGGAGGAATTGCTATCAGCGTAGTTTCAGTAGCTGTGAATGTGTGTATTACTTGCCTTCCCACTTAAGTATAGTTTAAAATGGCAAACACAATTGTGATATTTAGTTAAGTAAAAGGGTTAATATGGTGTAGATATTGAAAGCTTTATAGCTTCAATAAAAAGATAAGCCACTACACAATTGTGGTTATACATCATTTCCATTGTACTAACTAAATTAATGGATGTTTTAAACTTGGGCCTTACACTTGAGAAGTTAAACTGTGGTTCAGTATTTAAACTGCCAATGTTATGAATTCAGTGTTCTGTGTGCCAAGTAAAGGTGCTGTGTAAGGAGTGCATTTTCAGTGGTCCTTTTCTTATAATGATTCAAGTATATAGCAGTTCTTGAAAGAATATACTTATGTTATTCATCTGCTAGAGATTGGGTTAATTGATATATCAGAGAAGTCAAAGACATTTTTTTTGAGAACTTGACCAAAAGTCACCCTGATTGTACTTAAAGTTAGCAAAAGTTGATAACATTTGGAATTTTCATCTGTAGCAATGTGAAGAGCCCTGCAGAATGTAACAACATGGCAGTAAATTTGGCTGAAATCCACTTAATTTCTTGTATATGCACTATCTAGAACTAATGAGTTAAAAAATTTCCAGTATAACCTCCCCTGAAGTGGCCCCTCTGTTTCCCAAACTGTACGGAAGAGAGGATCTGGACATCTTCACCAGCTTTACCTATGTTGTGAAATCAAAGGGCTTCTAGAGCTGATGGTCCAGATTACCAGGTTTTGGCCAACTGGATATTTGACTCAGGCATAAATTAAGTGCCCTGGACTGAACACTTTCTCCTTACCTTTTCTTCAGATTGCTAGTCTGGAAATATAATTAGCTCCAGCAGTTAACTTTGACTCAACTCATTTTCCTCCTCTTTTCACCTTTTCATTGGGTCTTCCAAAAGGAGACTGTGTACTTCTGTTTTCATATTACAGCCACAGAAATGGGTATCAGGAATCATATGCTCTGCTCAGAAGACTCTGCCACTTTCTTAAAAAATGACAGCATGAAACCCAGAGTTTTAATTCTATGCAAAATAATAGCAGTACAATCAGGATTCTTATTTACCTTTTCCTTCTTTGAGTTTGGAATTTCTAGCTTTTCAAGCAGCCTAAGTAGAGTAAACAATATCAGGATGTTGTCATGAAATAGCATCCTTGTGTTCCTTTGAGCTCAATGTTAGTGGCTAGACTAATTTCCCATTGCTTTTAAAGTAGCACAGTCTCTTGAAATATAGAGAAATGCCTGGATATGACAACTAAAGTAATAGAGATTAATATTCTATTGTTACAGCTACTATACACAAAATGAAGTCTTTGATTTAAGCAGGAAGATAGCATTAGAATGTCATAAGTTGTCTAGGTTTTCCTTTATTTCAGTGCATCTACCAGTTGCACAAAGGGTTTTTGGACATTGCTCACCCTCCTGTTTTAAACATGTGCACTTTCTAGATTCTATAAATGGCCTTTCAGAAAAGAAATGATAGGTATTTGTAAGCACCTGTTCCCCAGTATGTCCAGATCCTGTTTGTACGATACCTGTGATAAACAGTCTTCTTATACTGTGTTTTCTGTTGGACTAATTACTGATCTTGCATAGACTTTAGTCCATTCAGGCAACACTCAAAACTGACATTAAGATAGGGTTTAATGTGTCAGACTTCTTTAGAGACTGAAGTGTAAAATTAGTGACAGGGAAATAAAAGTAATTGTCAAAGTGATGTTGCGCTTTGGTTGGACACATAGCATTTGAAAAGGAAATGCATTTGAAAAATACCACCCCAAACAATGAGGCTTTCTTTAGGCATCTTGTGCATTCTAGAATTAATAGACTATTAAGTTTTTCTTAGGAAAGCCTTAACTGTGGCAGAAATTTTTTAACCTTTTGCATCATTGTTGTTATGTGCCGTCGAGTCGGCCCCGACTCATAGCGACCCCTCCTTGGGTTTTCAAGGCAGTATCACTACGGAAGTAGGATTGCCCAACCTTCTTTCCGAGGAGTGGCTGGTAGGTTTGAACTGCCAGCCTTCTGGTTAGCAGTCAAGTGCTTTAGCCACTATGCTACCAGAGCTCCTTTTGCATCATAGTAAGTGGGAAAAAAATCAAATTCCATTTCTTAGGAGTCAGTGAGTCCGACATGCCTTCCTGTATCTCATACCTGTGAAGCTTATTTTATGAGGGCAAATTGCACAAGCAGGGGCTCCCTTACATGCAACAGAGCTGATGTAATAAATAGATTCTAGGCTCTCCTGTCTGAAATTCTAGAGCTACCAGATCTTCTGATCTGGAAAGATGCTAGAAAGATTTCAAAACCCATTAAGTAGTGTCTATGGGGATACAGCAACAATTCATAAAGTGATGAAACTATGTAGAATTTAGGTGGTGCACAAGATTTTATATACTCTGCAAGACCAAATATGATCATAGTGTGACCAGTTTTCTACCATCTGCCAGACAGTTCTGCCCTTTTGAAATAGCATTCACATTGGAAAGATGGTTTTATTTTGATTCTTTATTTTTCTGCATTTTCTTTTCTGCTTTACACTTTAACATCTTCACACCTGTCCTACCACACATCTTTTCAAGCATTTCTCTCACTCCAGAATTCATACTTTATTGTTTTTTTCCCATCTGTCTACCCATTTCCACAGGCAGCCCTGAGAGCCCTTTGTTGATTCAGTGTTTGCAGACAAATGCAGTTAAACCCTACATCCCCTCCCCAAGGTTCAAGATGAGAAGATAAAAAAAAAAATACATCTCTGAAGAACAAGAGTAAAATTAGAAAGGAACAGAAATCTTTGAGGTTAATAGCCTAGACCTAGAAGGTAACTTGGACTAAACAACCATTGT